TCGATTGAGAGTTACTTCCGTCGTAAGTACGTTTGGCACGAGGTAGGACGAAAGAATTCGTTAGGAAGCACGAGGCTCGTGCTCGTGCGGAATCGACTGGACTTGAGCATATCTCGGGGTGGTGGCATACCTGCCCCGCCTTACGGGACTGATCTCACCAAGAGCCAAATAGACCTCTAGAAGGCGTAGTGTAGATGAGGTCGGTAGTTCCACGTCTGCTTATGTCCAACTGCTACGCGTTATTATACGCGTCTGCGTTATGCTCCGCTACCTATCATTGGAGGTATTCGGACCAAAGGAGAAAACAATGTCTCGCATGGCATCTACTTCACTTCAACTTCGAAATGCATCCACATCGATTGATACACGAAGAGTGAAATAGGAGATGTCCAAACAGAGGAAACATTTTCGAACCTGCTAATCGAGGAGAACAGTTTTCCAACAACAATTGCTCCAGCCATTTGCCATATCTAGACATTACATGCACTCACAGTTGCGAAAGGTTATTGTGATACATTATCATTGGAGACACTCATCACATACAGCTGTAACAGGATATCGGCTAGTTGTGGCGATTGTCCCATGGTCTTGCGAAGCTATATATATACCTATGAGAATATCGATCGATGAGTTCATCGGTGATTTGTAGTCCTGTTGCGGTTGTGATCAGCTCTGTGGGTACCTTAGTTTCTTATGCAGTTGTTGATTTCATTTCTTATCCGTTGTTCCCATGTCGATGTTCTCATACATTTGTTTATGCACCGTTGCAATCGCCCTGTCTCTGGCAGGGTGTTCTAGCGATAGTAGCAGCACTGCTGCTCCTACGACAGTCCCTGCGGTGTTCACTACTGGTGGCAAGGATGATCACTTCATGGCCCCTACAACAGCCGATGGTTTCGACACTCCCTCGTCCTCTCATGGCGGAGGAGATGATGCCTACTGCTCCGGTGAGCCCGCTGGCGAGTACTGTGGCAAGATTAACGGCGATATGGCTCGAATCCTCATTGAGGAACACGTGTTCTATTTCAACTATGAGTCCAAGGTCGACCTCAAGAACGTACCCTTCCATATATACGACTGCAAGGACTTCGAGCCCGATTATTCCAGTGGGGCGATGGACAGTGTGGCCGAAGAATTTGGCCTTACTACGGATCAGCTCCGTCAAATACTTACTATCACTTACAGCCTCTCTAGTGATAGCTTCCACTTGGACTGGAAGCCGAAAGTTTCGGTAAGCATGACTCATGATGCTTGCGAACCCGAGAACAGTAAGAAACATCATGGTTACTAAGTGTTCGTGTTTTGTGCTATCTGTCCTCATCCCGATCTGTCTGTGATTTATTCATGTGTCGGCTTAGACACTACTGGCAGGCAGCTTCGGCTGTACTGCTGTTTTTCTTTGAGGTGTGTAGTTCGGCTACTGCGTGGATCGTACAGTGCTACCATGTGTCACTGATGCATCCATCACATCGTTCATTTGTAGGACTTCTACCATTTGAGCGTTATGCTCTGCCGTGTGGCCCCGCTCCTCTTTCTTTATATTGGACAATAAGAGTCGCTGAGTTTGAGTGGTTCGATTCATCTTATAGGCTCGCCATGGTGGGGAAACTCAGTATGTTCTGAGTGCTAGCAGTTAGCCAATGCCGGTTGGATTTCCGGGGTCCACACGCCGTAACATTTTCGATTGGATACCAGCTTGGCCTCTCTTAGCGCGTGCAGGAAGTTTTGAATGGCGTAGGACGCAATGCAATGCATTGAATGCATTTTATGCGAGCACCAGCTGCCGCCACCTGATTGACATAGTCTCCGCAAGTTGCGGACCGCAACGAGTCGATAAATTGCTAACTTGAATGGTTAACGCTCCAGATGTAGCGAGAACCTCCATCCCAACCCACACCCCATTATCAGACTTTTCTCCCAATTCGAATCGCGATTATTGCATTTGCAGATATAGACCAGCTGTACTTTGCGCATGCGTGCATTCGAGGTTCTGTTCTGATTCTCATTCGACTTTGGTTCATCGGAACCACCCTGATGTATACGAGTCATGGATAGGAATGTCCCATGGAAACACTGAATCAGCCGATTCCAGTCCATCTCCAACTGTTCCATTGAGACTCTCTTTGTGCTCGGTGCACTGGCGCGCGGCACAAAGCTTGTCTCCTCTGAATTAAGCTATACACTGCAACGCTCTCATAC